AGATAAAAAGACCCTTTTCATGTATTTTAACCATCGAAGGGGTCCTTTTCTCCCACCCCCTTAATTTTGTTTTTTGGGCAGTCCGCATTGTCCCATTTTCAACCGATTTTCTTAAAAAAGGTGTCAAAATGCTCAGAACAATAAGCCACTTCATTTAAGACCTGTACATATGGTATTTGAAATATCACCATAGCCCACCACTACTTATAGGATCTAATAATTCGTGATAGAAGTGTTTAAAATTCCTATATGATCTATTAAATATTGTAATAAGAATTCTTATTGGATCTTATAGCAATTCCTAATAAAAATATATTTGAAATTCCTATATGATCTAATAAATATTTTAATACGAATTCTTATTGAATCTATGGCAATTCCTAATAGAGATATATTTAAAATTCCTATATATACAGTATATTGTACTAAGAATTCTTATTGGATCTTGCAAATCCTAATAGAAATATATTTAAGATTCCTATATGTTCTAGTAAATTTTGTAATGAGAATTCTTATTGGGTCTTTAAAATTTCCAATAAAAAGTCTTATAAGATCTTATAAGATATTAGGCCAATTTCCAACAGAGTCTCATAGAATTTCCTATAGCAATTGAAATAAGAATTACAATATGAATCCTATACATTTTTCTAATAGGAAATTCAATTGGATATTTTCGTAAGGGCATGTGGACGCTGCACAAGATAGATAGTCGACCCTGCTTGTACGTTGCAGCTGGACAGGGTACATTGTGATTCGAACACTCTTCCTGCAAATATCAAACGTTGCTGATCTGGAGGGATGCCTTCCTTGTCTTGAATTATGGCTTTCACATTTTCAAATGTGGTTGAGTGCATAACCTCTAAAGTAATGGTTTTGCCAGTGATGGTTCTGACAAAGATTTGCATGCTGCCAGAAAGCTCATTAAGGAGAATGGATCCATTATCTATATTGTAGTCGAATAAAGTGCGTCCATCTTCCAACTGCATTCCTTTAAATACCAAACGTTGCTGACCAGGAGGGATGCCTTCCTCTTCTTGAATTGCAACCTTTATACTTTCAATAGTGGCTAACGGCTCAACTCCCAGGGTGACGAAATTGCCAGTGGAGGTTTTGACAATGATCTGCAGGCCCACAACATTGCTCCTCATACAAGCACCCAAATGGATTATGGACTTATCCTGTATGTTGTAGTAGGACAGAGTATGTTTATTTTTCAACACTCCTTTCAAAATCAAACATTGAAAGCTTGGACTTACGGATTTCTCATAAAAATATTCATATTTGACATCTCTAATAGTGTATGATGGCTCAACTTTTAGGGCAGTTGCTATGCCTGAAGTATCTTTGACAAAGATTGTCATGCTGCGGCAACGTACACAAGGACAGTTGAATCCATATTCGGGCAGGGAGCATAGACATTCGGCAGAGATTTGCATCATAGGGGGAATAAACTCAAGACGTAAAGTAGACTCCTTTTGTATGTAGTCGGACAATGTATGTCCATCTTCCAACTGCTTTCCTGCAAAGGTCAAACAATGCTGATCTAAAGGGAAGCCTTCCTTGTCTTCAATGTCAGCTTTTAAATTTTTGATAGTGGAGGTTAGCTCAATCTCTGCGGTCACTGTCTTGCCAGTCCAGGTTTTGATGAAGACAGTAATGAAGCCACGTGGACGCTGCACAAGATGGATAGTGGACCCCGGTTCTACCATGCAGCTGGACAGGGTACGTTGTGATTCGAACAATCTTCCTGCAAATATCAAACGTTGCTGATCCGGAGGTATGCCTTCCTTGTCTTGAATTGCAGCTTTCACATCTCCAAATGTGGTTGAGTGCATAACTTCTAAAGTAATGGTTTTGCGAGTAATGATTTTGACAAAAATGTGCATGCCAGAAAGCTCATTATAGAGAGTAGATCCCATTTTTATATCGTAGTCAGATAGAGTACGTCCATTTTCCAACTGCATTCCCTTAAATACCAAACGTTGCTGACCAGGCGGGACGCCTTCCTTTGCTTGAAATGCAACCTTTACTTCTTCAATAGTGGCTAAATGCGGAACTGTCAGGGTGATGTAATTGCCAGTGGAGGTTTTGACACAGACCAGCAGGCCACCGCCGCCCCTCAAACGAAGAATCAAATGGATAATGGACTTATCCTCTATGTTGTAGTCTGACAGAGTACGTTTATTTTCCAACAGACTTCCTGCAAAAATTAAACGTTGATTGTCTGGCTTTATGGATGTCTCATAAAAACATTCATTTTTGACATCTTTAACCGTGAATGATGGCTCAACTTTTAGTATAGTTACTCTGCCTGTTAAATCTTTGACAAAGATTGATATGCTGCGGCAACATACACAAGGAAAGTTGAATCCATATTCGGGCAGGGAGCATAGAGTCCATATGGTATGTTGCTGTTGGATTTTGGTCTTAAAATGTTTGATGTTGTCTGATGCCTCAACGTGGGCGATAGCATCTTGCTGTTTTTTTTTCTGACCTGTGAAAATTAGTTAATACATTTTGTATTACAATTCTTACATGATTTCCATGTTTCAGAACAAAGACATAGGCTAAAGGCCTACATGATTTATACTGGTTAAATTTAAAATGTTCCTTAATTATGTAACTTATTTAAAAACACACACATAAAAGGAAATGCTGGTAAAACTGCAAACTATATAATCTGCAATTAAAACTGTTTTAATAATGATTATTAATATTTTAAACATTTATAAGTGCTCTTACACAGAGAGTCTCGAGAAGATAATTGAAAAATGTTATAGTAAAATATAGTAGTATATTAATAGTTAAAAAGTGATTGAAAACTAACCCTTTATAAACAGCTTTGATAGGGCCATAATACTATGTTAAAATAAAGCTGAAATAAAGAAGAAAATATGTTTCTAATCATGATGACATTTCATATAAATATATATTTTGTTTCCTTGTGAATATGATTCAGAACAATATCTAAAACATTAAAAGTAAATTAAATATTTCAATACCACTGAACCAATGGTAATCTTACGTTTTGATAAAAACATATTAAACGTCAAGCTGATGTAAGAACAAATAGTGACGCTTTAGATTTATAAATCAATTGGCTGCGTTCTTTCTAACTGAAAATAAAAAATAGGGCAAAAATCATATAGAAGTACACCTAGGCGGCGGCCTATAAAACGTTAGCATAGTCATTAGTTATAAAGCATTAAGTGTGTTTAATAATTTATCCTAATACATCCAATGTGTATCCACATCACTGTCATGTCGTAAGTGATACAATCATTCTTTATTTTTGTAAAATCTGTAGTCATTTTCACTTTTTCTTTGCAATAATGAAAAACTTACAAAAAGTCTGTAGCCCTTTGATAACAGTAGTTGAGTAGGCTACGGTCAGTGTAATACATAATAGAAATTTAAAAAAATAAATGGGCTCAGGCCTAATTTAATATTTCACAATTGTGTGTGTATATAATTAAATAATGGTATTTACTTCAGTTTTACATTCCATTCATTTGAAAGTGGAGCTCAGTCTGGCAATTGAAAGGAAACCATGTTTCCTTTTAATTGTGGCAGTCTGGAAAACACAGACTAGCGAATGTGTACAGTACTTGCCCCTTGGTACAAAACAGTCATGATAAACAGTAAAAAGGTACATAATTTTTTATGACAAATTTACAAAAAATATGTTGTATACTTGCTAATACCACTATAATAAATGCCCACAGCAATCAGCAACTACCCTACGGCATCACATTAATAAGCATGTGTTTCTAACTTAAAATCTTAGGCACCTAAGAAGTCACACCAGTTAACAAAAAACATTACAAGCAGTCAACGGTGTTTGTTTTACTTATTAATCTTCGTCGTACGACTAATAATAATAATAATAATAATAATAATATTCTACCAACAACTGATAACGAGTTATGTATTATTAATTAGAAGAAACACAAGTTAGTAAAACATCAAATAAATATCAGTCATCTTTAAAGTCGTAATACAAGAATAACAAAAGTTCATTCACTATAAAAAACAAACAAAACACAAGTTAGTAAAACTCAAATAAATATCAATCATCTTCAAATGCAATGACAAACATATGTTCATTCACTATAGAACAAACTGAACACAAGTTAGTAAAATTCGAATAAATAAACTAAAGAAGCCATTTAAAAAGTACCATCCATTTCTGTAAGAAAATAGGCATACTATAAACTATAATAATCGATATAATAAATAAACAAACTAGCTAAATATTAAGTCTCGATTTATATAGGCTATATATTAATTATGAAAGAAAATACACATTAATTTGATAATTGATTAAAACAGTATTAATATCGAACTCTGATGCCCATTGTCCAACACATACTGCACACTTGGCGCTCCACACAAATTGCTGTGTATCGACTCGTGGCCGCTTTCCCTCGTGGCCGCTACGACCCTAAATCTGCAGTGTTGGATAGGCTAATGTTTTTTTCCGCCTACTATATTTCTTCACAGACCTATCGCAAAATCAAACACGAAAAAATTCATCCGCAAATTTTAGTCTAATTATACATTTTTTTCTCCTTACTTCATTATGGAGAATTAAATACGTCCATGCGCGTGCGTAATGTTGTTAAAGCATGTTGTTATAGAAGTTAGGATTTGTTTTTGTTTTGGTTCTAGTGTTAGCTGGTATTTGGGTCATTCCTGCTTGCGCGGCTTGCCTGATTGAATAAATAATTGTGATAGACTTGTCAATAATTTCATTGTTTCTGGTAGTTCAAACTCTCTTTGATCACATTTGGTTTACTACAAGTTCCATGGATTATTGTATGCAGATAATTTTTTTTATTTATTTGGACAAGACATTTGTTTTTATTTTATTATTAATATTTTGTACCGTACGCAATTCGTATGCTACGTGATTGATTTGAAAGAGGTTGTACCGTACGCTCCTCATACGCTACACAGGGAAAGATTCTGTTTTTTAATATTTGGTTTGCACTGTACGCTATTCGTAGGCTGATACTGAATGCTTATTTTTTTAGATGGTTTGTGGAAGATATTTTTTTTGCACCGTACGCTATCCGTATGCTGCGTTGACTATTTGTGATATTTTTTTGCACTGTACGTTCTTCATATGCTGCACTATCGAATGGATTATTTGGAGACCCTTTGTACTGTATGCTTCCGTATGCTACAATGATGGTAGGTATTTTTTTATTGCACTGTATGGTATTCGTACGCTGCTGTGTTGCTTTATTTGTGACATATTCGTACATACTAATATGCAATTCATATGCTACATGTTTTTCTTGTATTTGCGACACTTTATTTTTTTGTATCATACGCCATTCGTATGGTACAGTACATGGATATTGAGCAGTTACTTCCTTCACCGTACGCCATTCATATGCCCCGGCCCCCACTTTTGGGAGGTAAAAAAAAAAAAAGAAAAAAAGTGAGAAAAAGAAAATAATGATAGCCCAGAATGCCTCAAATGTTATGTTTAGGCGTCTAGAACACAAAAATTTCGCAGGGCATGCCTCAGGCCCCCTACGACAGTGTTGTCTCAATCGGCCAAACTTTCGGCCCCCCCTTCTGGCCCCCCTTTTGGACATTTGTGGATCCGCCCCTGAAAGTAATACAGACGCCAGCGCCTTATGTATTCTTCGGTTTGTGATAGGCGCAATATAAATCCAGATTATTAAAAAAAAAAAAAACGTGTATCAGAACACAATTCATTTACAATAAATTAGGAATATTGCATATTCACTAATTCACTATTCCATACAAAAGATTTCAGTCAAGGTCACATCTTGTTCTTCCACACAATATTTACAGTGCTTCTATTAATAATGATGGAAAGCTTGAAGTAACATTGATTTCTATTTTTGAAACTATGCCCTTTTGGACATTTCTGGATCCGCCCCTGGACGGAATCTAACCAGTTACTCAATCTCATCAGTGGAATCTACTTAGAGTCATCATTTAATCAAGGGATGTGAACATCATCTATCAATCTTCAGGTGTTCAACCAATGGATGCAACCATCGTTTTCTGATGTGCTTCAACCACCACCAACTGATAACTTTGCCGGATGATATTCTTGAATTGAGCGTTATTGAACGCATAGGCCTATTATATGAATTCTGTCTTAAATCACAATTACTGTATACTGAATTGATAATAATTGATACATAAACAACCAGCTAAGCAAATGAATATTTAATTTCATAAACACTTTAAATAGTTAAATACTGTAACTCTATAATGAGATTGCTTATAATATATCAGTGCAGAATGTTATTTTATGTATTTCATTATTAAGCAATTAGTAGAGCTCCGCATAGTACACTATAGGAAAATTATTGTACGAAGGTTAGATTTAATGCTTGAAAAAATTTTTGAATGCATTAAATCTAACCTAAGTATAATAATTTTCCGTTTAGTGTACGATGCATGCTCTACTAATTGCCTTAAAAAGTCAATTGCCGTCTTTTAATTTTAGTTTTTTATAAACAACTGTTGTAGCAGCTATCGGTTGCTATAGTGATATAATCAGTGTACGTGTGCGTATTTACATCTAGCTGTGCGTACAGTATGCTGATTTTTGCTCCTGCAGTACGCGTTTAACTCATCTAACAGGCATCTAACATCAGCAGTACAGTACGGATATGATGAATAGACCTAACTATTGTGTTAGAAAGAACTTGTTTGTAATGCTATTATTGATAGACTTTCGTCAAAGAAATAAACATTTCAGCATTCGAGAGGGAATAAAGTGACTTACGTCCTTTTTGGTTGGTGCATGCAGACAGGTAAAATCATGCGATGATTTCATAACTAGGCCAGGCTACGGCCTATGCTTAGTAATAGTAGAAGGAGGCCCCGGGCGGCCTGCCTGTCCGTAGGCCTACACCTAAATGTGTTCCTTGAGTCTTTAAAATAAGTCTAGAATATTTCTATTAAACGTTCACTTTGTTGTGTTTATGAGGGTCCAATAATTCAATGAATTTCTTAATTGTTCATACTTAACATTGAATTTGAAGTAACTTTCTTCAGGTTCTAATTAGGCTTGTTTTACGAAAGCAATTTTCAACAATTCAATTTTTATCGCGGTGCGCAATGTATTCGCGGTGCTGACGTAAAAATGATGATTTTTTTTTTGCACACGAACCTTAAAAAAAATCAAGCCGAGCGTCCAATAATAAAAAATTATTGGACGCTGGGGAATAGGCAAATAACATTGCGAGTTTCAGTGATGACGTCACGATTGACTTATAAAATACTATAATGCCTAGACAGGCTTTGTATTTGTTATTATTTCTGCATATATATGAGAAGAGATGAGAAGTGGGACACTTCTTAGGAAGAGGGGAGTAGTGTAACCTTTCAACTTTAAGACATACATCATATTATAAGATGGTCCCATGAAAGAGTCTTGTGGGCCACCCGATAGGATAGGAGATTAAGCCTAGAGGAGAGACGAGTCACGGAGGACCGGCGTGAGGAAGCTGTGTCTTGTAGTCACGCATTGGACGAATAAAACCTTTTTATAATCAGCTTTACATGCTGTCTGAATTCTCATTGTATTTCTCGAACACTATACGGTCACAATTTTCTTAACAACTGAAATTTTGCCGGGAATGGGGCTTTAAACTATTCTTGAGTTTAAGGGAAAAATACTTCAAAATTTCAAAATGTTGAGATGTAACGATAATTATAGAAACAAAACATGATGCGACAGGAAAATCAGGTGAAAACGAGGCTGATCACTTTTTTCAGTAGCTTGGTAGCAATTTTCTAACCAACTCATTAATATTCATGATTTATTCAGTCTGTCAATTTCGGTGAGCAGCTGAGGATTTGAGGAATTGAGGAATC